ACCAAACTGGACCTACATACAGGGACTAGTCCACCCCTTTGAGATGATGGACTCAAGCAAAACTTACAAAATTTTCCCATATTGTACATATATCTATTAAGCCCACCAATATTTATTAATTAGTCTACCCAAAATCCAAATTAATGTAAAAAAAAAAACCCAAATAATTATTAATTTGTCCACCTAAAATTCAAAATTATGCAAAAAAGCCCCTTGTTTCTTCTTTACTTTTTCCCATTTTTTTTATGTTGTCACAAAAAAGTCCTAATTTTTTTTCGGGGCACCCCCAAAAATTTAAGCACACACTGTATCACATTCCTGGACTCGCCACCGCCTATGTTCACAGGATACTATGTGTACCCTACGCAATATATGCGAATTGTCATATCTGACATCTTCACATGCACATGTTTCAGCTATCATTGCAAAATCAACCATTTGTAATGTGAACATAGTTCTCATAGTTGACTTTCTTGTCTTTCAATTGCTACACGGCATCATCGCCTTATCTTCCTTAGGGCTCCACAACCATAGATCTTCAGGCCCCTACCTGAGATCAGTTGTATGTGTATTTAACACATATATGCAATGCAAGTATAACAAATATATTCTTGTGTGTGTATAGGGGTATCATAAGAGACAACAATGGTCATTTTGTTATGGCTTTTTTCTAAAAATATTGGTATTTCATCGAATAACAAAGTTGAGTGTTGGGTCCTCATCGAAGTTTGCTAATGCGCTTGATATTAGAAAACTTATTGTCGAAACTGACTCTTTGGTATTGCTCTCAGTTCAAACAGGAAAGATATTAAACACAAGAAAGTTATGCATATAAAATGGTTGATTTAATATTCGCTAATTTTGAATTTTGCATATGTGTTTTGAGAGGTTAATGGTGCGGATAACTTAGTGAAGCTTGGAGTTTCAATGACGAACAATGAATTAGAAAATATTAAAATATTAAAATATAAATATTTAAAAAATAGACAGAAGACGCCATTGGTGGTGGCGCCTCCTGCCGTTGGAGCTGGCGTCTCCTGCTGGTGCAGCCGTTGGTGGTGGCACCTCCTGCCGGTGCCGCCGTGGGGTGTGGCGCTCAACCCCAATTCGTTTACTTCTTACAAAACAACACCATTTTAAAAACTCTTTTCTAAAACAACACCAGAGAAAAAATTGCCCCTATTTACCGACTTATCTACATGCACACAATCAAATATTAAATATTAGTCCCGTCAAAAAAAGAAAAATAAATAAATATTAGCTTTGCACTTGCACGCAGTGGCGGATCTACCTAAGGTCTAGGGTGTGCAGTTGCACACCCTTGATTTTAAGTAATTACTACTATTATACATAAGTTGACAAAAAAGTCTATTGGTTGAGGTGGTAAAGTTACACTTTTATTCACTAATAGGTCGCGGGTTCGATACCCCACCCTCTCAAAACTTGATTTTTTTTCAAATCTTTAACATTTTTCACCTTTTTTCACTTTAAATATTTTCACAATTCACCTAAAATTTGTAAATTGTAAATTTTTGGTCCACTATTTTTATAAAGTGATATTTAAATTTTTTATTTTACAATTTCGAACCCCCTTGGCAAAAATCCTGGATCCGCCACTGCTTGCACGTACAAATTAATTACATGGTAGGACCAAAATTTAACGCTCCGACACAGACATATAAGCTAGCGGAGATCAACGACAGAATCTCTAAAACTTGATCATATCAAAGATTTGATTTTTAAGGGGGAGAAAGTCTTTGCAAATTAAACTCAGTCAATTATGAAGAGACTGAGACGGGTCATCTTCTGTCAAACTTATTTGACCAACTTGACTTTTCTCATTTTGACACTTCTAACCTATAAAAAAAATTAATAGTAGCACCCTTGAAATACAATAAATCATTTCATGATGCATCTGAAATTGAATAGTTAAAACTTAATGAGGTAATTTCAAGTTTTAGTGTTTTCTTTTTTATTTTTAGGTTGCAACGAATTAAATTATTATTTTCTTCTATATCGAACATAAATTTGAACGTACAATATGTATAAACAAAATACAACGAATTACTGAACAAAACATATAATTTCTAACCAATTTTTTTTTCCTCACTAATTTCTTGGATTGATGGATATTTTATTATAATTATGAAAATATTCACAAGAAAATATAATTTTTCAGATAACTTGATAACAAAGTAGTTGAAAGATTTTATTCTTTTTGTTTTTTGTAAAATATATTTTTTGTGATTTTTCCTTTTTATATGTTGGTGACATTTTTTTTGGCATTTTATAGTTTCAAATGATTGATGAATATAAAAAATGATTTGACATTTGGCACCCTAAAAAGTGCCACTTAAAATACTGAATGACCTTCATAAGCTTTAAAATTTCATTTGAAGTGCATTATGCTTGATTTATTGCGTTTTGAGGGTACTAAGTGCTATTATTTTTTTCAGAGGGTGCAAAGTGCCAAAACATTATATTTAAAAGGTTCAAAATCGAATTATGTTGAATGATCATCTCAACTAAAAGCTTAAGTTGTTAGTGAAATGGGTGGTGGTGGGATTCGAACTCATGAACTTTGATTGTATCCCCTCAAGTGCAGACGAAATACGTTTGAAGCCTTACACTTGAAATATTTGAAATGAGTAGTGGTGGTATTCGAACTCATGACCTTTCATTTGATCTGATTCTGATGCCATGCTGAATGACCACATCAATAAAAAATTTAAACTATTAGTAAAATGTATTATTTAATATTAATATCTCTAAAAAATTTTGCCTTGTTTTAGAAAGTATTTTTCTTTTAAACATTTGATAAGTTATGTTGACGGTGTCTCAGTAAATTACTCCCTTGGTTCAGGATACCCGACCCTTAATTACATGGCCTCACTCCATAATTCATATTTATCTTTTTTGTTTCATTCGGTCTTTTGATTTTTTTTTTCAAGTACATAACATGGTTTGTATAATTCTAGTTAATTGTGTCATAAACTTCATTTCTTATAGTTAATTATTAGGGGCGTTAAGCTATAGGTTTCTGGCAATAGAACCTATTAGAATTAAATGACAAACTCAACTAAACATTTGCTTCACATATTTCATAAAATTCATTCAGAAAATGTTCATCCACTCACAAATTCGAAATCTGCATTAAGCACTGGTGAAACTTCATGAGGGCTAGAGGCTGTTTCCCCCAAGATTTTTTTATAAATAGTACTAATTTTTATGTGGAAAAAAAAGTAATGCATTTTAAGTTTTTTTTTTTCTAATATTATTATGTATTGGCCCCATCTAAAAATAAGATTTTATTCTACCGTTTTAATGTAATTTTACAATTCTCTAAAATCTTCTAATAAAATCTAAATTTCTAATATTTACTAAAGCCAACAATTAAAAAAAACACAAAAAAGTAAAAATATTGTATTTATTAGATAATGTTATTTCTAATATTTTAGGTTTGCCTTCTATCAAATTTATAAAAATTTCAAATAAATTGTAATTTTCGGCAATCTTACATGTTTATTTAATAAACTTATATTTTCTATTTTTTGTAAGTTTAAGTTCTAATGATTATATTTTCCAGACATACTATTTATTTTATATAATCATTTGATTCAATTAATTTTATAAAAATGTGTACTGATTGTGTGATATCTTATGCGAATTCCCACAAAAAGAAAAAAAAACCGGGGGCGTTGCTCCCAAACCCCCTTGAAATATATTATAGCGCCCCCAAACTAAAGTTCCTGGTTCCGCCTCTGCTATTAAGTAAATTCAAACTGCATTTATCATTTGATTTATTATGCATTAAATATTTTCATCTAATATTTTTAATTTTTTTTTACAGAATATCTGTTTGTTTCTTTTTTTTTTCTTTCTTCATTTTAGCATTTTATAAACTATTATAAAAAAATTCTTTTTTTCCTTTTTTTCTACATAATATTGAAAATCACAAAAAACAATTCTACTTTTTTTCATTCTTTTAATTTAATTTTACATATTTTTCATTTTGTCTGTAATAGATCTATGATAAACTACGGCGTACCATAGTATACTACAGTGTAGCATGCTTTACTATGATGTACCATTCCAAACCCTAGTCGTCAACAACTCTCAGTCGTCGCCAACCCTGGCTTCCAATGCAGCCGCCGCCAAACCCTAATAGTCAACAATTGTAGTCACCGCAACCGTAGTCATTTACCATCTTTGGAAAAACCTAGATCTGTCATTTTGAACCCAAACGTAACCAAGCAAAATCTCTTAATAATAAGAAAATCAGATGCAATTACTCAAAATATGCTTTCAATAATGTCCGATCCCCACCATAACCACAACCCCAGCGCCGCCGTCTCCACCACGAATCCCTCCACTGCTCCCTCCGCCGGCCTTCGTGCTACTACTGGATAAAACGAGAGAGAGAGATAGAGAGGCGAGAGAGAGAAAAAAAACGAGAGAGAAAGGGAGATAGAGAGAAAATGTGAGAGGGATTGGAGAGATTATTCTATTGTTGAAATTATATTTTATCACATTTAAGAAAATTTTCATTTGGAAATACTACTAAAAGATGAAATTGTCCTCGTTAACCTTCAAATTTCAATTGGACTGCAACGTTAATGAATTATTATGTTTAGTGGGTTCAAAGTGCTATTACTTTTTTTAAAAGTACAAAGTACTAAAATGATTTCAATGGTGCAAAGTGGAATTAAGTTTACATATATTATAATCAAAATTTTGTTTGCAAATTTCTAGAATATGTAAATGTTTGCGTCCATGTAAGAGAAAGAAATATTGCCTTAAGATTGGAACCCTTATTAATCTTATTTAACAATCTGCATATATAAATAATTGATATTGAATATATATCACATGGAAGCATAAATAAAACTAGAAATGTGAAAACGACAAATCAATTGAGGCTTGTCAATGGTCGTGTAGCCCCATAAGAAATGGATATGGAAATGATAAAAAGCTGAGAATATATATTACATTTTGATCAATTTTGAGTGGTGAAGCATGACTTATCTTTGTTTAATTAGTCACTAATTTTCGTACCAAAGAGTTTTTATTTAATTTGACACCACTGGGGCAAAAGTATATATAATGCACCCATACGTGTTTGTGCAGGAATGAATATACATATATGATATATTATCATTCATTCATTCGTGCACCTTATTCACACTTCTCATGCAACACACACTTACACATAACACACATGTACTGAAATAACACACAGAGATCCAAACAAATTATTTTTTTTTAAGGCTTGGATTGAGGTTCGGCATCCACTTTCTGACCAGCAAATGTACAGCACCTGCAACCTCCTCTGTAGTAGCTCCGGCCACAGCAACCGTAACGGCACCTTCCACCTCGTCCACCGCCTCCATAGTTGCTGCCGCGGCCGCCGCCATAGTTGCCTCCGTATTTGGCATCATTGACGGCTCCATTTGTCCCCTCAACTTCCGTCGCTAATTTTATTAATGTAGTAAAAAAAGTATATTTTAGCTAGATTAAGTGACAAATTAATCTTTAGGACATACATTAACATGAATACTTGAGATTAAGTTTTAGAGAGAGAAAGAAATTTCATACATGCATCAACTGTGTTGGATGTCTCAGCGAGATCCCTAGCTGCAACTTCTGTTGATATGAAAACAACCATAGCCAACAAAAGGACAAGATAAACTATTGCTTTGGATGCCATTTTTTGATGACTTAATTTGATGTTTTGCTATTTGTTTTTGATGAGAATGCTCTCTGATTGGCTTCTCTATTTATAGAAGAAAACTATACAAGTAGAGGGGTGATATGTTGGCCCATATTTGTATAGTTGTGGAAGAGGCATTTTAAATGAGTCCAAACACAACCTTATCTTTCATTAATTAATTAATTAATTAATTAATTAATTAATTGCATATATCTCTAT